CCCAGCTACTTGGGAGGTGGAGGCAGGAGACTCACTTGAGCCCAGGAGTTGGAGATTGCTGTGAGCTGTAATGCCACAGCACTCTACCCAGGGGGACAGCTTGAGGCTCTGTCTCAAAAAAAAAGAATGGAAAAACAAGCATCCTGTGTACTCAATACTAATTTGAAACTAACAGCTGAACAACTACAGTCCCACACAAGAGGCAAAACAATTAAAGTTAAGTGGGGGGAAGGGATTCAGTAAGCATCTACCTAAGGCATATAATGTAGGAGTATTTGGCACAGCTCCGGGGTGAAGGACTCAAATGTAACTAGGACTTATCCTAGCAAATGCAAACAATATAACCTAATCATATGTACCCTTACATTAATCCAAAATAAAATAAAAACCAAGTTATTACTCTTACAAAAATATAGACTGTACTCACTGATCATTGCATTTTAAAAGAAAGGCTGATATTTTATGCCATATGATAAAGGTCAGTTGTGTAATTTTCTAGGATTAGCTGCATGATAGCTTTTCACACAATCTTTACATGAAAGGGCTTTCTTGAATATTGTTAAATAATCTGCCCTAGTATTTGGAGGAGTAGCCTTTGCAAATGTTGTAATGAATGATACTATCTAATGGTAAAATCTACTGAAAATGAGAAGATGTAACAGTCAAAACCTGGCTGTAGCTCCTTATACCACTAGGAAATCTTTTACTGTGTCTAGGTCATGGTCCCTTCATTTGTCATAATAAATTGCCTTTAACTGGCTTTCATGAAAGAGAATCAGATAATATCTATGGAACTTTTTTAATCTTAGAAAATGATTCTGACTAATGAAATGCATACATTCAAAAGCAAAATTGATAGCGAATTTTCATTTTTCATTTTTGTTAATAGTGTTGACCTTAGATGTTAATTGATTAATAACTATACATTTAACTTTACACTGTTTTCCATTTTTTTCCAAAACGACTTTTAGTGTCTCATTTAAAATCTTACATTTGAGCCTTTGCCCAGCAGCCTGTTTTTATTATTAGCAAAAATCAAAAGCTGCATTTTTTAAGCCTTAATGGCAAAGTAGTTATCTGTATTTATTTTAGTCATTGTAAATTCATGAAAGTTATTAAACATAGCTATTTTTATAGAGAAGGGAAAAGGAATGTTCACTTGGAAGAGAATAAAGGATGTTAGAAGCCAGTGTGCATCCTCTCCAAACTGTCCACAGTGTGTGATGTTTTTACACATGATGTTTTGCAGCAAGGTGACAGTTGTCATACAAGGCTCTGAAATCCCAGATGTAATTAAGATCTTATAATGAGCCACATTACGTAGGGAGATGCTTCTTGACCCATTGTGAATGAAAAAAATGTACAAAATTGAAAAGCTCAGTTACATTTCATTCTGTACTAATTATCTTCCAATTTCCATTGTTGTTTTAATACTTCAAGCTGAGTTTGGAAGAGGTGAATGTTGGAATACCCTCAAAGATGATTAAAAATGAGTTTGGAGACAAGTTTCAGTCAGGATGGTTGTGTGGGTGTTTCATAAAGAGATGAATAAAACCTGGTCAACAGTCCTAACACAGTGGGGTATCAAGGCCGAGAAGTCTTACTTAAGCAAACTTGGTGCTCAAAACCATATGCAAAAAGTTAGATGGTGCTGGCGTGAGACCAACACCAGTAACACAATAATGGTGCGCTCCAAGTCACCCCACTTACTCCAGCCCCCAAAAGAAAATTGTCAATGTCGCTTGCTTGGCATTTTTAATCAACTTCTCAATTATTATCCTGGCAATAATAACAACAACATAAAGGTAAGCCCAAATAGTAATAGTTAGTATTCACGAATGTAGATGGTCCTGGTGTAAAGCTAACCAATAAAATTTTACTACTACATAAACATTTTGTTCTTTCAATATTCAAGGAAGAAATTAGTGACCTCTTCAAAATAATCAGGATAGTCAGAGTCCCTTTTTGTTTGGAAATGGTTTCTGAAACATTAAATCTTTGTTAAGACTTTGGATCGTACGCCAAGTTACAGTTTGCAGCAATTTCAGACATCTGCTTTATGATAGTTGCTGAAAACATTCCCCCACCATATTAAACACAGCTTTGTGGCTGTATAGTGATCTAAAGTTTATTGAAACATTTTTACATTTGCTTTCTTCGACCACAATAGTCATTTTATTGTAACATATGCAATTAAACAGGAACAGTGTAAAAGCAGTGAAATTGATGGGATTCTCATTTTAATCTACTGAATGCGGTTATTGTTTTCATTTGTGCCTAACTGCTGTTGACAAAGATAAAAAGAATGAGTAGATTATCCTAGTCGATAGAAAAGCTACTTTTTTTTTTTTTTTTTTTTTGGCCAGGGCCGGGTTTGAACCCACCACCTCCAGTATATGCGGCCAGCACCCTACTCCTTGAGCCACAGGTGCTTTTTTTTTTCACATTTTTTCCTATGGTAATAAACTTATTAAATACCTAAAGAGAGTTATTGGCCTCTTGGGGCCAAGAGCTCAGAGTTCAAAATGACCCTTCTTTGATAGGATCAAAATCTACTATTTGAGCTGGGCGCAGTGGCTAACACCTATAATCCTAGCACTTGGGAGGCCAAAGCGGGCAGATTGCCTGAGCTCATGGGTCCTAGACCAGCATGAGCCAGAGCAAGACCCCATTTCTAAAAATAGCTGGGTGTTGTGGCCAGCACTTGGGCCACAAGATCCAGCTACTAGGGAGGCTGAGCAAGAAAATCACTTGAGCTGAAGAGTTGGAGGTTGCTGTGAGCAATGACGCTACAGCACTCTACTGAGAGCAACAAAGTGAGACTCTGTCTCAAAAAACAAAAATCTAATAGTTGGCTGTGGCACTATCCAGAAGTACAGAGTTTATTATAGCTCAATCGAAGGGAAATAGTAAGATGAGGATGGATGGAAAGGAATATATAGTAGGATATAAACTACTTGTGGATGTTTTCCTGGATCTTATGCAAATGAGAATCGGTAGGAGAATGGAGGGTTAAGAGTTAGAGAAAATTGGGGGAGGCACAATGGTTGGTGCCTGTATGGGGTTGCTCTGCTGAATCCCAAAATATAAACAAACATGTGCTCACAGACTTTTCTATGAGTCTCAACTTTTTTCTTTTTTTCTTTTTTTTTGAGACGAGAGTCTTGCTCTATCACCCATGCCAGAGTACAGCGACATCGTCATAGCTCACTGCAACCTGAAACCCCTAGGCTCAGCAGTTCTCCTGCCTCTGCCTCTCACGTAGCTGGGACTACAGGCATGTGCCACCATGCCTGGTCATGAGTCTCAAATTGTTTCCTTGCTTTCGCTTGGCTTTTTCAAATCTGGCAGTGCTCTGGTGAAACACGTTCACAGGTGGAAATGAAAAGAGGCAACAGAAGGGCAGCGCCTGTGGCTCAAAGGAGTAGGGCACCAGCCCCATCTACCAGAGGTGGCAGGTTCAAACCCAGCCCCAGCCAAAAAAAAAAAAAAAAAAGAGAGGCAAGAGAACATTTACAAGGCCAAATACACACACACACACACACACACATATACGTATGTATTTTTAAAGATTCACTGAAGTGTATATGGAAATACCATGCACTCAAGTTGCAAATCCTATGAGGTGAATTACAAGATACTTCTAATTTTTTCTCAACTATGAGAATATCTTGCAGAATTGTTTACTCAGAAGCTGAAGAAAGTATTCCTAGGATTCAAAGATAGCCTGGGGTAGGGAGGGAATGGCTGTCTGTGAATGTCTTAAAATGCTATGCAAGTATTAAGTTCATATGTATATGTATTTGTGAATTTCTTTCTACAGACAGGTTTTATTATATTCTTTAAAAGGTGAGACCACAAAAAGATTAAGGAAGTATTTCTTAAGACTCTGGGAAGGTATAAGTTGCCTCAAGATCAAAGGAACTACCCTTTGACTTGCAAATCAACTGAGAGGGAAGGAGTGGGGAGGTAAGTCTGGAGTCCCTCAGGAAGTGGAGGGGTGTAGCGGCCTCCCAGGGACTGGAAAAGGACATTCAAGAGTCAGGAAACTTCATGACAGCCTCGTCACCAGGGGGCTGGAAAAAGGTTCTATTGGTGTGGAGATTGATGGGTGGAAAAAGGAGAGAAGAGATTTGGATCTGATACCAAAGAGATGTTTTCAGCATCAGTCAGCTGCAAAACAAAATGGGCTTCCTTTTCCCCCCTCAAGTTCTTCCAAGCATCATAAATCCTCAGCCTGCTCCTCAACCCACATCCTGCAGAGTACAGCCAGAGCTGCAGCCCCACTCCACTCTGGCACCAGCCATCATAGGGATGTAGCTGGTCAGAAATCCCTGCCCATGTTTTCTCAAGATCTGCACTGGGCCTTGCAGCTGCTGCTCCAGGGTTCTCTCCAGAATATACTTCCCCTATCTGTTACTATAGCCAAACTAGTACAGGCTTGAAAACGAGCCAGGCAATTGTTTTTCTTAGCTTCCCTGTGATGGGCTGGTTGGGGCTGGCTGATCTCTACTCAGCTGGCTCTTGCATTGGCTGGGTGGTAAAACTGTTCCCTATGTGTCATCTGCTTGAGATGAGCAGACTATTCTAGGAATGTTTTTCCCATGGCAATGACAGAGACAGAAGGTCCACAGAAACCTTCAAGCCCTTGTAATGTGTACTCAAACAACTGGCACATTGTCATTTTTAGCCTAGTGGCCCAAAAAGTCACATGACCAACTTCAAGGCACGGTCACAAGAAATATATCCCACTTCTTTAGACAGAGTACCTGCAAAGTTGCTTAGGCCTGGCTACAGGGCAGGATGAAGAATTGGAGGCAGAAATGCAATCTGCCACATCTGTTAGTGAAGACGGTTCCTCATAAATGACTGCCATGAGAAAGCACTCCACTTTCCCACTTTAACAGTTCAAATAAACTAAAATTATGCAACCTAAAATTATGCAAATCTTGCCCCATGGTTTTGCCAAAGAACTGCACCTTGTCTGGTTGGCTTTGCAGGTCTGTGTAACTCAGCTGATAGCTGGATGATCGTGCCCAACATCAAGCAGAACCATTACACAGTACACGGTCTGCAGAGTGGCACCAAGTATATCTTCATGGTCAAGGCCATCAACCAGGCAGGCAGCCGCAGCAGCGAGCCTGGGAAGTTGAAGACAAACAGTAAGTGCTGTGAACTCAGCAGAGCTGTCATGTCTCATCTGCTTTCCTTTTGACGGACTCTACCCTCCTTTCTTTTCCTTTTCTCTGTCTCAGGCATCACTGACAGCCTCAAAAAGTAAGTATAGCCTCTGTGTGGGCTATTGGAATTAGCATCAGATTACCCCTGGGTTTCAAAACTGCCTCCACTCCTTCAGACCCATGAGACTATTGATCTATGCTTCCATCTTCTCATTTCTTAAATAAATAATCCTGGAGGGGTTCTAGTGAGCAATGGAATATGTATACATAAAACCTAACACATGGCTCAGCGCCCATAGCTCAGTGAGTAGGGCATCAGCCATCCACATACACCAAAGCTGGCGTGTTCGAGCCCAGCCCAGGCCAGTTATAACAACAATGACAATTGCAACAAAAAAATAGCTGGGCATTGTGGCAGGTGCCTATATTCCCAGCTACTTGGGAGGCTGAGGCAAGAGAATCACTTGAGCCTAAGAGTTGGAGGTTGCTGTGAGCTGTGACACCACAGTACTCTACCAAGGGTGACATAGTGAGACTGTGTCTCAAATAAATAAATAAAACTTAACTTATTAGAGGCTCTGTAAATGGCAGGTAGGATTGTTTTCCATAGCAGAATACCAGATTAAGAACTATTAAGACATTCTTTTACTCCACAGAACCATCTGGGCCTGTAATTCTCAATTAGGGACAGTTCTCCCCCTTGGGGTACATTTAGCAATATCTAAAAAGATTTGGGGTTGTCACAACTAAGGTAGATGCTACTAGCTTCTAGTCAGTACAGACCAGAGATGCTGCAAAATATCCTACAACACACAGGATAGTCCCCCACCCCAAGAATGATGTGGCCTATAAATGTACCTTGAGGTATCACTGTCCCCCTGTTTCTGCCCATTTTCTTTTTGCCCTCTCTTCTTTCTTTACATAAGACCTCCCAAGAGAAAGCAAATGGAGTGTACAATATGGCGCTGTGTGGTGGGCTTGCCAGCCAGTCACCAGAAACAGTTAACTGCTTTTCAGGAGGAACCTTCAATTAAACCATTTCCCTGATTTCCCAGTGCATTATAGAGGATATCTTAGAGGAACAGCAAAACAAGTATAAAGAAAGCACTGGATTAAGGATGAGAAGACTAAGGCTATGCCACTTGGCTTTGTGGCTAGTTTCGTCATATTTTTTTAATTAAACTTTTTTTAAATTTTGGAGTAATAAGAGTACTATATACCCTCCTCCCAGTTTACCATAATGTTAACTTGTCATGTAACCCTGGTACCTTTGTCACAACTAAGAAAGTTACTTTTAACTAAACCCCAGCCTTTATTCAAATTCCAGTTTTTCACTAATGGTCTTTTCCCATCCCAAGATCCAGTTCTGGATCCCACACTGCATTTTGTGTTTCTTCACTTTTAAAATGGGAATATTTAATTTCAGTAATGAGTTATCACAAAGACAAACTCAAAACATGATGACAGATTTCTTTATAACCATACAACAAAGGGCACAATACCTATGCACACTGAGATCAGCTGTTTCTAATTTGCATTTGAGCATGTATTTGTTCCTTCAAAAAAAAAAAAAAAGTTTGGCACTCAGTGTGTTTGGGGTGCTGTGCGAGATGCTGAGGATACTATGAACATCTTCAAGTCCCTAAGGTGAGTTCTCTCAAAATGTTCATGGACGATGGAGAATAAAGTATGTTCATCCTTAATTATCACTCAGTATATGAAGTCTGTATGAGTGTACGAAGCCACGAGAGGTGCTGGCTGTCTAAGCGGGCTGCCCAGCATGGTCTTGTGAGGCTTTCCACGGTGGGTACCTACACATTGCTCTTGATGCCTACTACACTTTAGAGTTGCTGCTCCCTATTATATTTTGAATATCATGGAAAGTATGCAAGCAAATGACTTTTAAAGTAGTTTATTAAAGTTTTAGGTACTGTTAAAATATAAGAGAGCTCTTTGTGATAAGAGGGCTGGCTTCTTCCTGCCTTTTAAATCTACTTATGAAAATATGCTGTTGGTTGTGTTAAAATAAACAGTCCTCATCTTTCTCTTTTTGTTTCGCAAACTTGTTTCCAGGCCAACCATTTAAACTGGACCCCAAATCTGCTCATCGAAAACTGAAGGTGTCCCACGATAACTTGACAGTGGAACGTGATGAGTCATCTTCCAAAAAGAGTCACACACCTGAACGCTTTACCAGCCAAGGGAGCTATGGAGTAGCTGGAAATGTGTTTATTGATAGTGGCCGGCATTATTGGGAAGTGGTCATAAGTGGAAGCACATGGTAGGCAACTTGTATCTGTTCTCCTCCAGTTGTAAAAAGGCACATCTCATTGTATTGTTTGTCAGAACATCAACCCCTATCAGGATCTATCTTGAATGAAATGCAGAAAAGCTATGTCAGTCAACTATTGTTAGGATAATGCTGCATAACAAAGACTCCAAAAACTCAGCAGCTTTCAACAACCACCATCTATTATTGCTTACTAACCTCTATAGCTGTGGGTTAGCTGATGGCAAAATTAATGAGTTCAAGTTCCTGAAAGAGCTATAGTATGCCAGCAGTGCCCCTTTTTATGTATTTTTTAAATATAAGTTGCAGTTTATTAAATATATGTGCTAGTTTCATTTGTAAGATATCATACATGTTCCATTCTTCATGATGTATCTATTGTAAACTGTAAAATTTCTCCACTACCACAACCAGGAAAGGTATAAAATAATGAGCTTGGTTGTGCAGCAATATGTACCAACATGCACACACACGCACGTACGTGTTTAAAATAAACTAGAATAGAATGCCAGACAAGGAGCCAAAAGATGTCCAGCAGAATTGCTAGTTTCTTCTGACTCCATGATAGTAAGCAAGTTTCCCATAATCTCCTTGTTGGAGAATGACACAACTGCGCGATTAGCCCAGTGTCTCATGTGAAGTAGGTTCTGGCCTTTCCCCTTCAGTAAGATGGTCTTCAAAGCTCCAGTTTATATATGTTGTCCATCTCTTTGTCTACTACCAGCAGTGAAGTCTGATCTCCACCCTTCCTAATCATTTCCACAACACCATTGATGATCCATTGTGTGCTTTGATGCTTTCAGGGTTGTACTGGTAAACTCATGTTTCATCACCAGTGACAACACGGCCCAAAACATTGTCCTGCCTCTCTAAAAAATGTTGGCAAACTTTGCCTCTTCTTTGCTTTTGTTTATTGGTGAGCTCTTTCAGGACCATTTTTGTACACACCTTTCTCATGCCAGTATTTTGCCATTTCCTACTTCAAAACATTGTTCATCAGTTACAAAACTAATTTCTATTGATTTGTATGTTTTGTGATTCTAGACTAAGCCAATTAGTACAAATAGCTGAGGGTGGAAGAGGGGTGAAGCAGTGATTATAGGCTGGAAATAATTTCAAAAGGTCTGTTAGATCCAGCCCAGTGACTTTAGCCCACTGAGTTCTCTAAGACTAAGGGCAAAGGTCAAGGTGCAATTACATTGGAATTAGTTAACTTTGCAAAGTTAACCTTGCCTAATCCTGTAGCCACAAACTACAGGCCTTCCTTTGGCCTTCTCTCTCACAAATGCCTACTTGTGAGTTTTCAAAAAGGGAGCTATTGTATTGTAATTTAACAAAACCCCTTTATAGCATAACTATATGCCAGGGATTGGTTAAAGGATTTTATAGATGTTAAGTCATTATTCATCATAACAGCCCCATAAGCATAGTTGCATTAGCCCATTTTACAGATGAGGTGACTGAGGTATGTACAAGGTCACAAAGGTCAGAGGTGGCAGAGTCAGAAACAAGCTCTTAACCAGGAGTCCACAAACCTTATCTGTAAAGGGCCAGAGGGTCATTATTTCTAGCTTTGCATGCTAAATGATTTTTGTCACAAATACTCAACTCTGGCTCGGTGCCTGTGGCTCAAGCGGCTAAGGTTCCAGCCACATACACCTAAGGTGGCAGGTTCAAATCCCCAGCCCGGGGCCGCCAAACAACAATGATGGCTGCAACCAAAAAATGGCCAGGCGTTGTGGCGGGCACCTGTGGTCCCAGCTACTTGGGAGGCTGAGGCAGGAGACTCGCTTGAGCCCAGGAGTTGGAGGTTGCTGTGAGCATGATGCCATGGCACTCTACCCAGGGGGATAGCTTGAGGCTCCATCTCAAAAAAAAAAAACAAAACAAAAACAAATGCTCAACTCTGCTGTTGTGGTGGGAAAGCAGCCACAGACATTACATAAATGGGCATGGCTGTGTTCCAATAAAACTTCATTTATGAAAACAGGAAGAGAGCTAGAGTTGGCCCCTGGGTGGTAGTTTGTTATTCCTTGCTCTTAATCGCCATGCTATGCTGCTAGTGACAGAAGGGTGATATATTTTTCAAAGTTGTAATTATTCTTTAGGGTTTACAATAGTGTACTAAACAAGTGGTAGCCTAACGCTTGCTTTAAAAATAAAACCAATATTCAAACCTTCATAACCTAAAGATGGTAAGTATAATAACCATGTTTCTTTTGATATAAGCATGACTAAACAGTTTATTTTAAAAAAAAAGAAAACCCGTTCAATTCAAATCTATGCAAATAATGTGATGTTTCTAAGTCCCTTATAGGCACAAATTAACCAAAACCTAAGAAGTGAAAATGAAAGCTTGGGTGTCCCGTCTCTCCCAATAATGGTACATACTATATTGGCTGAAGGGGTAGGTTTTCCTCAGTTGTTATTCTCATGATTCTCCTTGCCCAGAACATTTGTCTCTTCTACCATGCTGCCAGAAGATGGAGGCTGAATCCTTCACTCCAGTAGGGCTCTAGGCTAGATTGGCATTTGCAATTTTTAGCTCCCATAGGGCAAGATAAAAATCACAAAGGAAAACCATGAATTCAGGTGCAAAACAGCAAATGTTTCTAACTAATTAGATAGAATCCAGGGTCGAAATGATTACTAACCGATTGATGATTATTTATAATAAATGATACCTGATCATTATGATCTCATTGTCATTGATAAATAGTGTGGGAAACTCTACCAGACCATTTCAGTAATACTGATATAAACACAGATCAACGTTACCTTGAAAACACCTCCCAGATGTCAAAACCAACTCACAAGGGGGAAAGGCACTTCTAAAATGAACTGCCATACTTTGGATCTTTACAAACCTGATTGTGTCTATGTCAGAAAATCCTCATGTGAATATTCGTTTCACATTTCCTGGGAGGTACTAACAGGAAAGGGGTATCCCCTAAGATTAAATGCCCCTGGCACCTTGATTTGCAACAGCTAATGACACATATGGTGAAATACAATCCTGACTTTAAATTAATGTGTATGTTATGATCTGTGCAATGGGGCATGTTAATGTTACTCAGAGAAACATAATTTTTATACTTTTTGAATTCTCCATGTCTCACTGCGTAACTTAATGGAACATTACATTCTACCTGCACCTTTCAAGCTCTATGGAAGTATGTACACAGTTTCACAGATTAATGATAATATAATGGTATTTTCCTTTGCTTAATGGACTATACACTTAGTTATTTTCTTACTTTCTAATGCTGCTAATGTGCACTTAGTGTTTTATGAAATGGTGTTAACTAAATGAGTGATAATGGGCTCACGCAAAGATTATTAGACCAAACGGGGAGGGTATAGCATGACAGTCTAAATTCTGCTCCTAATTTTAACCTTCTCTATATTTCCATTTACTAATAAAGTCATCCCTACCTGCCACATCTACTTTGTAGGGTTCAGATGGGAAATAAACATCAAAGCTCTTTAATAAAAAATAAAAATGGTATGTGGCAACCTGTGACACACAAGTAGATTCTTGGCCTGGCAGAGGTACTGAAAATTGCAAAATGAAAACTTTCTAAAGCACATCAGTTATAGAAAACACTTGAGATACTCAAAGTCCACTGTGGAGAAGGGGAGCCAGAAGCTTATAGGACCCCTGGGAGGGCTGGGAGCATAAGCCAGGGATGATGTTCTGCCTGAGTTCCTCCCACTTGCCCACAGCACAGAGACAGGTGTACCCAGGAGCCCATCCAGAAGCTCCCACAAACCTCTTACCTACTGTCTGCCATGGGAAAAGAGTGTTTCTCCTCCTGTTAGAACTTCTGGATCTTGTACAAAGGCCTCACAATAGCAGAACCTGACCCAGACTTCTCCGAGATAGGGGGTTCTGGGAAATGCACCCTGGGATTCTCCCCATAAGAGGGGAGTATGGACGGGAGGCAAGAGAGGATGCTGTGTTGATGACAGACAGGCTGGCATGAGGGGCGTAATGCAGTATCAATTCCATCCTTTTGAATTTAATGATGACATTGTATTTACTTTTTTAGCATACCACTCTTAAAGTGATTGGATTTTTAATCCAATGTGATTTTTTTTAAAGAATGTCATTTTATCAAAGACTAGTATAGTTTTTCTCTCTGCATTGGGTTAGGTACCACATGTCAATATCCCCTTAGACTGGCTTCTACTATAACATTAAAACTAGGAGTCTGTCACTTTTTATTAAGAGTAATGGGTTTTGCTTATTTTTATAACTGTGAAATACTAAGAATATTACAGAGACATGCCTCAGAGGGGTAAAAAGAGATTAAAAACAAAAGAATTCTACATTTTTAAAGCAGTGATAGAACATTAGAATAACCAGGAGATTCATTTGCTTAAAGACATTCAGAATTTTATAAAAAGTGTAGTAGGAAATATAATCAGAAGGGCTCTTGGCACAATTGCCAAATGGTGAATTACACATTTTCTGGTGTAGGAAGTCATTACAGAGAGTTAGGTTTGTGGCCTTTTGAATCATCCTACATTCAGATTCAGATTCTGGTACTTATTGTTAATGTGTCATCCAGCAATAATAAAATAAGTTACTGAATATTACATACCAGGCTTTATACCCAGAACTTAACAGGTAGTCTCTACTTCTTAAAATAACTCTGCAAGATACCATTGTCCCTGTGATAAGAGACCTTATCCCCCTGCAAATGGAAATCGCGTTTGGCCCTTTGGCAAAATGCAGTTGAGGTCATGAAGAATGACCGAAATGGTGTCAAGTGAAAACTTAAAAGTCAAAAGGACTTTTACAATGTGAAGGAAATGGATCAATATTTGGAATCACACCCTCTCCCTAGACTTAGCCTGAAAGAAATAGATCTCCTGAACAGACCAATTTCAAGCACTGAGATCAAAGAAACAATTAAAAATATCTCAACAAAAAAAATGCCCTGGTCCGGATAGCTTCACACCAGAATTCTATCAAACCTTTGAGGAAGAGCTTATTCCCGTACTGCAGAAATTATTCCAAAAAATTGAGGAGGAAGAATCTTCCCCAACACGTTCCATGAAGCAAACATCACCCTAATACCAAAACCAGGAAAAGACCCAACTAAAAACAAGAACTTCAGTCCTATTTCACTAGTGAATATAGATGCAAAAGTTCTCAATAAAATCCTAGCCAATAGATTACGGCTTATCATCAAAAAAGTCATATTATTTGACCAAGTAGGTTTCATCCCAGGGATGCGAGGCTGGTTTAATATACACAAGTCCATAAATATTATTCACCATATCCACAGAAGCAAAAACAAAGACCACATGATCCTCTCGATAGATGAAGAAGCATTCGATAAAATCCAGCATCCTTTTCCAATTAGCACACTGAAGAGTTTAGGCATAGGAGGCACATTTCCTAAAGTGATCAAAGCTGTCTATGACAAACCCACAGCTAATATCTTACTAAATGGAGCTAAACTGAAAGCTTTTCCACTTAGAAGTGGAACCAGACAAGGTTGTCCTCTGTCGCCATTACTATTCAACATAGTGCTGGAAGTTCTAGCAATACAATTAGGCAAGACAAGGAAATAAAGGGCATCCAAATGGGAGTAGGGGAGGTCAAACTCTCCCTCTTTGCTGATGATACGATCTTATACTTAGAGAACCCCAAAGACTCAACCACGAGACTCCTGGAAGTCCTGAAAAAATACAGTAATGTCTTGGGATATAAGATCAATGTCCATAAGTCAGTAGCCTTTATATACTCCAATAACAGCCAAAATGAGAGGCTAATTAAGGACACAACTCTCTTCACCATAGGGTCACAGAAAATGAAATACCTAGGAATATACCTAACAAAAGAAGTGAAGGACCTCTATAAAGAAAATTATGAAACCCTAAGAAAGGAAATGGCAGAGGATATTAACAAATGGATGAATATACCATGCTCATGGCTGGGAAGAATCAACATTGTTAAAATGTCTATACTTCCCAAAGCAATTTTCTGATTCAACGCCATCCCTAATAGTACCAACACTGTACTTTCAAAACTTGGAAAAAAGGATTCTGCATTTTGTATGGAAACAGAAAAAAAAACCCGTATAGCTAAGGCAGTTCTTAGTAATAAAAATAAAGCCGGGGGCATCCGCATACCAGATTTAAGGCTGTACTACAAGGCTAGAGTGGTCAAGATAGCATGGTACAGGAACAAAAATAGAGACGTAGACATTTGGAATCGAATAGAAAACCAGGAAATGAAACTAACAACTTACAACTACCTGATCTTCGATAAACCAAACAAGAACATACATTGGGGGAAAGACTTCCTATTCAATAAAAGGTGCTGGGAGAACTGGATATCCACATGCAAAATACTGGAACTGGACCAGCATCTCTCCACTCACAAAAATTGGTTCAAGATGGATAAAGGACTTAAATTTAAGGCATGTAACGATAGAAATCCTCAAAGAAAGCATAGGAAAAACACTGGAAGATATCAGCCTGGGGAAAGACTTTATGAAGAACACTGCCATGGCAATTGCAATAACCACCAAAATAAACAAATGTGAAGGGACTTAATTAAACTGAAAAGCTTCTGTACAGCTAAGGAGACCACAACCAAAAACAAATAGACAACCTACACAATGAGAAAGGATATTTGCATATTTTGAATCAGACAAAAGGTTAATAACTAGGATTCATAGAGAATGTCAATCTACAAGAAAAAAGCCAATAGCCCCATATATCAATGGGGAAGAGAGATGAAGAGAACTTTCAAAGAAGACAGACGAATGGCTAGTAAACATGAAAAAATCATCATCCTTAATTATTAGAGAAATGCAAAGCAAACCCACCCTGAGATACCATCTAACCCCAGCGAGAATGGCCCACATCACAAAATCTTAAAACTGCAGATGCTGGCAGGGATGTGGAGAGAAGGGAACACTTTTACACTGCTGGTGAGACTGTAAACTAATACAACCTTTTTGGAAGGAAGTATGGAGAACCCTCAAAGAACCCAAGCTAGACCTCCCATTTGATCCTGCAGTCCCATTCCTAGGCATCTATCCAGAAGGGAAAAAAAAAAA